TTTACAGTTCGTTCGGGGTAGCTTATTTGGTGCAGCATCGTTTTGAAAATGCACCTGGACTGTTTGGGTAAACTGCGTATGCATTTTGAAAACGCTGAAATCAGTGTTTTTACGCTGCACCTAGGTGGCAACGGTATGATTTTTTCAAAAAAAAAAAATTGTAATAGTCATCACATCTAGCTTATCAGCTTATCAGTAGATTATTCAACAAACTGCAGCTACCCCAAACAGATCATTAATCTTATAAACCAAATTTCATTGCGAGTAACATAAAATAAAATAAAATAAAATATGATCATTTATAGTAATTTAATCAATTGTCAAATATATATAAAAATGATTAAATTACATAAAAGCAAGCTTATAAGAAATTTATTGTTTTTTTTTTATGAATTTAAATTATTCAATATGTACCAAATAGCAATGCATCTATGTATTTAATTCCGACTGAATTAGTCCTCTTTATACATACAAGGAATGACAATTCAAAATATCAAAATCTAATTAGGTGATCATCATTAATATAGGCCGTTGTATGAAGAATTAATATAGTGTATAGTTAAGGGTAAACATATTTAGGGATATTAATATAGGCCGTTGTATGAAGAATTAATATAGTATATAGTTAAGGGTAAACATATTTAGGGACATTTACATACATACCACCAAAGTCCTATGTATTTACATATCTAGCATCTAAAGTTTAACTCTTTCATTTCACTTCAAAAATATGACTATTTTAATTTTTAATAGTGATGTACACATTTCCATGCATAGACAAGGCGGCAAGTATATAAAAACTAAAGTTTAGGGGATAGATATGTAAATACATTGAGTGAGAAGTACAAGTACAAATTATGAAAACTAAAGTTTAGGGGATAGATATGTAAATACATATGAATTAAATGGTATAAATGTTATATTATTATTAATAATATATTTTTATAAGCATAAATTAAATGGTATAAAACTAAAATTTTTTTTTCCTTTATAATCGTTGGGGTTATTGAGTGAGAAGTACAGGTACAAATTATCCTATTTGAGTAAGAGAGTTTTTGCTTCTATTCTAGCATATAAGTTTCTAATTTTATTTATAGCAAGATTTTCCATGTTGATTTAAGTAAGTGTTGTTCGGTGTAATTTTCTTTATTATCAATGAAGCTTTTTTTTATTCCCTTATGAAAGATTTTGTGTGTGAAAAGTCACTTGAGGGCAAATGGCAGACAATGTCTACATCCGTACCCCTGAAAAGATGAGCCTACGAAGTAAGCTTCGATGGGAAGCTAGTGGTGGATACATTCCTCACCAGAAAGTTTTCTTGAGGGCAAGTGACGGATAATGTCTCCACCCATATATCTAGAAGTCAAGCCCATGAGGTAAGGCTTGATTTGGAAATCAAGTATGGGAGGCAAGGCTTGATGGGAAGATGTGATACCCCTGGAAGAAGAGCATAGGAGGCAAGTCTCAATGAGAGGCTACCATGCTTCTGGAAGAAGAGCTGAGGAGGCAAGCCTAAATGAGAAGTTATTAATGTACACTGTTCTCACTAGAAAGACTCTCTAAGAGCAATTAACCGGATCTCCACACACAAATTTCAGAAGGCTACAAGCCTCAAAAGATATTAGTACATCAAAAAGACTTTGAAAGGCTATAAGCCTCGAAAGATACATGTGTATTACAAGCCCCCAAAAGTCATGAGTCTCAGAAGGCACAAGCCTCAAAAGATACAAACCTAAAAAGACAAAAACCTCATAATGCATGAGCCACAAAATATACATGCTTTTTCCTTAAACATAGCACATGTGCTAACTTTGATAACAAACTTCTACACATTTGAGAAGCCATAGAGTCTCAAAAGGCATAAACCTCAAAAGAACTCAATGCCACAATACCTATGTTCACGAGATAGAGACAACGACAGCCTGAAGGCGTCAACATCATCCCAAAAGAGGGGCAACCACAACTCTGAAGGAAGACAAAAATAACCTCAGAAACAACTTCAAAATTTTTATTTCATCTTTCTTTTGCTTCTTCCCTATTCTTCCAAGAACTAGAATCGGCCTCACCACTCCAATCTCCCACCATCTAAAAAATTACTCATTCATAGTATTGATAGTCGTTGCAAATGAAAATTGACTCTAATTTTAAATCATAATTATAAAAATTACCATAAAAAAACTCACCATTTTTTCTCTAATAACCCAACATAAGAACAAAAAGATAAATTAGGTATTTTTAATAGTAAAATCGTATGTATATATGTATGTATGTATGTACGTAGATATCCACTAATTTACATAGTTTTTAAATTAAAAATTAAATCTTTAATTTTGATAAATAATATAATTTCATCTTGTGAATCAACTCTCATCGCGACTAAACATAAAATAAAATAAAAATTGTGGTAATTTAATAAATCGTCAAATATATATAAAATGATTAAATTACATAGAAACCAGCTTATAATATATAT